CCTGAAACGGGGCCTTATCCTCGCTCAAAAAGTTTCATTAAATTTATTCAACCACACTCTGAACCCCAACAAAATATTGTTTCTGCCAAATTAGCCTGCACTATACTAAAAATTGGGTTTCTCGTGCTATTTTGTGATCATATTGCAATTTGCATGACTTACATGTGATCTTCGTGTAATTAATTCACATAATTAAGCCTTGCATACCCTACCTAATTTTATAAATCCTTGTCTGTACCTTAATTGTGTGTACATGTTTCAAGCTGCAACCACCACTCTATGAAGTGTTCGCTGATTAGATGATATAATGATCAAACTCATTAATATTTCTGAATTGGTCATTTGGAATTTAAACAGCCATTTTGATTTACAAAATATTCTATTCATAAAATGCTTATAACATATTCCTAGGTTTCTGTTGTTTACTTGCAGTACTGTCAAATGTTTAGAATGTAGATTCAAATTCAAACAAAAATTAACTTTTATGATTTAAATTGGTGACATGTAAGCCATCAATAAAGTTTGAGAGATTTTACTTATATATATACTATATTATGACAATGACTAAACAAATTATTTTTATTTGTACTTCATTGCTTTCAATGATATGTAATTTTGACATCACAGAAGAGTTCTATCCCTAGAGGGCGCTATTTTATAGGAATGATAAAGTCATTACAACTTACAACAGTGAATCTCAAAATCACTGTGCTGTGATTGGTTAAATGGTTAAAACAGCATGAATCATTTTTTTTACAATACAACCTAAATTTTATTCTATTTCTTTCTTGGGTGTGTTTACATGAAATAATGGTAATTGTGATAGACAACAAAAATTTGCATTTAAATTTAAAATCCATAAATTCTCCTTTAAAAACCAAAACTTTGTGAAAAAAAGATTTCTTGGAATCAGTTTTTGCCTGAGACAATTGCATCCTGAACAGATTAGCACAAAGTGAAATGAATTTTCAATTTCTTTCTCGTCAAATAATTGGCAGACTCAAAGTGAGCAATCATTTCTTGTCTGACCACAATGTCAATTTCTAACAATTGACTGGCACCCTTCCCAAAACCTGGACTAGGCAGTAAAACACTGAATATATAAATAGTACTGTTTTGGTGGTTATACATATATTTTATAATAATATACTGAATATTTCATTGGAAACATATTTTTATGTTGGCATGAATGCATTATTGCTGATCATTTTGATTTTAAGATTACTTCATTATTTCAACATTATTCCAGGATGATGTAAACTATCT